AGGTTTCAAGAACAGCATTGCTGTGGGCTGTGTTATTTTTGGCACTTTGAACTGAGGAACCACACACACGTATAAAACAAACAAAGAATATGCCAGGGCCAAAGAAACACTCTGTGAGCCAAAGGCAACGAGGTGCAGCCCCAGCATAAATGCTCCAGAGAGTGCCAGGGCATTCCCTGTCACAGTACATGGAGATGGAATAGACACAGCCTATGTAAGAGTCAGAAAGAGAAGCTAATCAACTTAATTAATCATGAAATGCAACAAAGGGAGAGAGAAAAAAAATTCTGTCAACAAAGGGAGAGAGAAAAAAAGGAAGGATGTGCAGAAGAAAATTATGTTTTGGTTCTTTACATTTGGTTCTCTACATATTCTTTGGTTCATTCCATTAGTCTTCATGGAATAGTTTAGAAACCAGAATAATTATCTGTTTACAATAAAAAAATCGTGAAAGCTGCCAATAATAGTTCTAGAATACCAGAGTTGCCAACTGGGAATGTTAATAACATTAACTTAATAGCTAATGAACTATGAACTAATCATAAAGATTATGAAATGTTCATATATTGCTACTGAGGAAACCAAATATTTTGTGAGAAAAGTGGTATATATTTAATTAATACTTAATTAAATCTTAGGAGTCCAATTACCTGTAAGGGAATTATGGAGAAAACACTATAAAAGGAACTGGAAGATTGGAATAGCCAAAAAGAGAACTTTAAAAACATGTCTGTACAGAAATACTTACCAATCTGCTATGCAACTGAATGTCAATAATTTATCCTACTCATCTAAATATGCATGCCTTTTTCCCAGTGTATTTTAAGGAATTTTATTCCATAGACTCAATTCTCAAGGTTACCCCAAAACCAGAACAGATGGAAGATAATGAGGAAAAAAACAGGAAGTCAAAGCATAGTTATGATTTTTAACACAATTTAGGGATGAACAATTTGTCAGGCTGCAGGCTGCACTCTTGACAGAGAATTCACAGGATATGGAAAGCCATTTCTTCACTAGTGCCTACAGCATAACTAATACCAATAATGCTCATTTAAATAATTGATACACTAGGGTCAAATTCACCCAATATGAAATCTAGACAAAAAAAAAAAAAGTCATATTTCTTGATAAATACTTCTTAGAAATGCAATTCTGTTATTAAGAAATGTGGTGATTTAGAAGTATTAGCTAGTTCTCGTAGTCAAATTGTAAACTATTGCAATTCATTGACTTGAGATACTCAGCGACAATATAAACCAGGTGAGAATATTTATTTTCTGTATCTTTACAGAAACGCTACCACTGCCTTCAAACGAGCTCTATCATTACATAAAAATGCACTGAATATATTGAAACTTATGTACAAAGGTAGGAATTTAAATATATATTTTAAAGTCCTGTTCCAAAGGTAGTTTACATTCAAAGTACTAATTTCTTTAAAGTCACATCACTCTTGCTTCTTGTTAGTGTTGGTTTTCAGTCCTTCATTCAGTTTTCCAGTTACTGAAAAATGCTTCTCTCCAACCCATGGAAAGTGCATTTCCAACTATAATGTACCCTCACAGGAAGTCAGTAAAACTGCAGAATGCCTTTCATATGATAATTTATTGATTTTTTTTTTTCTGAGACATTGAGTCTCTGCAGTGTGGTCTCTTCCCTACCAATGCCTCAAGTATTTATATAATACTCCAATTAACTCTGTCATATTATTGCCATTTTCACAACTGCGTTTTTAATTCTTTACAAAACAGACACCTTTCTTATGTTTCTTATTACTTCTCTGCAAGCAATGGCTCTTCTAAAAAAATTGCCTGAAGTTCAAAAAGCTTACTAATTAATTTCTTAAAGGCTCTAACTTGCATATTCAAATCTTCCAAGTGACTCTTCCCTTGATGTAAGACAGTTTTCAATCACTTCTAATCACACATTTTTCTGTTCTTGCCTTTCCCCCTCATCAATTTAAAAAGCAAAGCATACTTGATCTCGTCTACTTTTAATTAAAGGGCCTCTTTCCTTATAGGTTTTTCCTGATAATATCAGAAGTACCTTCTAGTGCTCTAGGCTCCTCCTACACTATCCTCCTACTCTTATGTTCTCTACAGAAAATGCGTGCCTAGTTCTGTAGATTTTTCTTGTCTGCTCTCCATTGACAGTACCTTCTGGAAGTCTTCTTTTACCCAAGTAATCTTCTATCAATTATACTTAAAGTGTACAGGTAACAATTTGCATACTTGCATGCATTATATAAATTTGTCTGGTTTGCATATTGAGTTGAAACAGTTCATAATCTACAAACAATGAATCCTCTTTTTATATTATGAACATTTTCTCCCAGGTCATTAAAAGTAAATGTCCCTTGAGATGTACATTGTCTTCTACTCAGAAGACTAAGAAAAGTAAGAATTAAATTAAATAAACAAGACTATATAAAGAAGAGGGAGACAACCATGCTGAATGCACATTAGGAGAAAAGCCAACAAATCATTTTGCTTAAATTAACAAACCATTCAATGAAGAAAGCAACAGCTCTTCATAGCAATTTTCTATAAAGGTGTTTAAACTAACAGGTCACAAAATACACAGGACAGCTTGTCTCTAGCAGCAAATGAATGCTTAAACCAGGAGAAAAGAAAATCCATTCAAAAACCAAATCATGAATCATCTTTTTAACATGTGACGTTATCTGAAAGTACCTATTTGTCATCCAATATATGACACATAGAAAGACTGTTACTTACCTTAAACATGAATTTATTAAAAAAAATTCTCATGCTGTTTTTGTGTATTCTTACTCAGGAATATTACATGCTTCCATAATGTCACTGTCATTATTACTTTCTGTCAATCCCAAGAGGTATTAACACTTTACAAAATGTTACTAGTACAAATAGTTAAACCTTCCTTATAGCTCCAACTATGTACACACGCTCATAATTTTCAATTTTGACCACTGGTTTTAAAAATTCTTAGTATTTGTATGCTTGCCTATATGCCCAGACACGGATTGATCTTTTAAGGAATTGCAGCTGACCTGGCCAAATGATTTTCAGCCTGGAAGAATATATTAGTTACTCAGCTTTCATCAGAAGAGATATTCTGATGCCATGGTAATTTTGGAACTTTATTTTGAATATTATGTATTATGCATACTCATTTACTATGTCATCTGTGTTTCTTCATCAGCCACTGGTACCATACTGCAATTCAAAGGTCTTTATCATTTCCTTGTCAAAAGTTGTCTCCTTAGGAATGTCACATAATAGAAACTAGATCAGTGTTCATCACTCTTGTCACTGATGTGCATGGGGAGAATTTACAATGCCCAAGCACTTTTTAGATTACTCTTCACTGCAAACACCTTGTTCATCTTTCTCAAAGTACTAAGACTTCTTGCATTTCTGTTTAGTCACTTGTTTTTCTTCTGATTTGAAATGAGTCATACAATCTGGACCTAGACTTTTTAAAAAAATCAAACTACCCATCAGTTTCCAAGAGCAGTACTTCTTTTTCTAACAGCTGATTATTTGTTTTCTCAACCTTGTTTGTAATGATTTGTCTGACCTAACTTTACCCAGCTAAATGTTTTTCCCACTATCTTAAACTAGGCATCTCTCATAAGAGTGGGATGAATTCCCAGCTAGACATGCCTGTCTCCCTTTATTACATCTAAAAAGAGCACAAACAGCTAACAAACTCAGCTAATATGTAGCCTAGAGCAAGTAATTTGAAATGTTAAAATGGAAAGTATACAGCATTAGTTTACCCACTCGTCTCCTTGGAGACATCATGAAAAAATATATATGCTTTAATGCATTCTAGAACTCCACTATGACCTCCAAAGTGAAATTCCCTAAAATACAATCTTCTTCCAAACCCTCTTGGAATTCCCTATCTCTGGAAAGGTGCTTTTCAGTTTAATGGTCCATTTTTCTTCTTGTAGAAGCCAGGTACACATTAATTCACATGGGACGTCATCCTTCTTTCTGTGTTTCACTGCTCATTATGTTTGGAGAACCTGAACTGCCACACTTCTTCCACTTATGAAGCCAGTTTTGCTTGTCACTTCCACCCCAGAACTTCCAAAACTCTGTCAGTGGACCCTTGTCATGGGCCATGTTTTAATGATTTTCACTTTGTTAGTCACCTGCACTGTTTATAACTCTCCTTGTTAGTGGTCTCTGCCTTCATTATCTGTTCACGTTGGTTCTGGCAACTGAAGAGTTGCCAACTGGTTACTTTAGTTCTTTTAAATTATTCATATTGATTACTTTGACAAATGTGACGTACATGTCAGGCTGGAAGTGCAGACAAAGTAGAGAGAGGGACAAAACCCTCTGCTTTTATTACAGCGGCTGCTACAAGTAATATTGTACACCTTTCTACACAGTGCAAGCTCCACAGAACAAAGAATATATATTTCTTTGGTATCCAGCACCTAATGCACCTTGATGAATATTTTGACAGTATTAATCAAAGGTGATAATCATCTCATATCTTCTTTAATAGCATTTTATGCACATCTCAGCAAATATGGCTTCTTATTTATTTGAGCAACCTAACAGTTCAGATTTCTCTTTGCCTTCTGGAAAAGTCCTACACCAGCCTCTCACATTTTCCTAAAGAAGTAGACTATTTACAGATTTTAGTGCCCTTTTCTCCTCAACTGTTATATCTGTTTCTTATATTTTGAACAAGCTATCAACTCCAAAATGCTAAATTCAATTAAGTACTAAAAATGTTACATATTTCCTAAAGATGCTTATGCCAAACAAATACAGGGTAAGATCTCAATTCAATGAATTAAACCTCACTTTTGGATATTCAGGTGCTCAGTTTGGTAAATTTGATTTTTTATATATAATTGATTAATCAGTAACATAGAACTGCATGTAACTGTTTCACAGTCTCTCACTATGTTTACTATCTCTGTCCCCAAGGGTTTTTAATAGCATCAACCATCCCCCTCACCAAGACTCTTTTGGGAGCAGGTCACTTACTTTGTGATACGGTCAATGTTAGCAATTTGCTTCTGGTTCCGGATTATTTCTATAGCTGCCCAAAGGTGCTGGATAGCCTTTGTGTCTGCCTGTCGTCTCTTCGTTAGGCGTGCCATGACCTGTTCACCTGGTCAGCTGCAGCCAAGAAATAAATAAATAAATAAAATTCACCAAAAGTTAACCAAGAATTATAAAATAAATTACATGAAATATGATTACAATGTTGTAATTATGTATTGTTGCATAGGCATTCAATTTGTATATAACAACATGTTTTCAAGTGCTTAATGAGCGGTACAAAGTTAAAAAAAATAGTTTACATTACTGCTTAATGAGCAGTACAAAGTTAAAAAAAAATAATCCCTTTCACATCACATAATCAAAACGGAAGACAAAAGGCAAGAAGTAAAATATATTAAATCAATGGCAAATTTAGTTCATATCTCAGCTCCCTATATTTGGTACAAATGCAAAACTACCCCAGTCTGAAGCTGCCACAGCCTCCTGCATTGCCTGAAGCTCTTAAAAAGGATGAGTGGTACTTGACTACATATACAGCATAAGCACAAATTCTGACACAGAGAAAAAGCTGGACCCACAGTTTAACATCAAGCACAGTCCCTGGAGTATTACCTTCATGTTCTTATCATTTACAGCTACTTTAAAGAAGTCCATTCTATGATGAGAAACCAGAAGTATATTTTCATGGATGATAGGTCTTTAAAAAAATATTTTGGAGCAGTTCCATTTTCTGTAACATGCTAAAACCCAACAGGGCCAAAGTGCTTCTGATGGCATTTGCCCATCTAACCAACCCTGAACAGGAACATAATGAGCATCTGGCTTTGTTTACAAATTTTCCAAAAGCTGGAGGCAATGAGTACAGATAAGCCATAAATCGCCTACAGCTCCACTACAGGCACAGAATCCCTTTTTAAAAGCTTAACGATGCATTTTGATCACTAAATAACTTTCTTCCATTGCCACCACTTTCTCAATGAAAAAATGACTGATTTATGAGTGCTACCAAGGTCTATAATTTATTTTAGAGCTCTGTCCTCGGAATGAACCCTGTGGTATGCACACAGATATTTGTAGCTAGCAGAATATTAACTTCAGTAACCCAAAATAATATAAAAAATGCAAAAACATTTCACCATCTGTGCAATGTTAAAGATGGGAATTTAAGTATTAAAAGTGTCCCTGCTCTCAAATTCAGAAAAATGAAACAGATTTGAGTATTCCATCAGTTGCAGCAATGTAATTTTCAAGTCTATGGGACCTACAGGTACTTATCAAAGAGGGCTCTCAAGTTTTAGATCTGATATAAGCTCGGCGGCACTCACTAACTTTACAGGTGCAATGAAATGAATGGCAACATTCCATTATTAAGGATAAGAAAATATTTAAAAGCATTATACTTTATGCTATGTAGCACATATAAAGAAAAAAAATAAGGAAAATAAAAAAGATGATGTGAAGAGGTATGTACACGGCCAGGTCCGTGAGGCATTCCTGGCTGCAGGAGATATCAGGGAAGGGCAGAGCAGAGCAGCACATGAGAAGATGTGGTGTGGTCACACATCGATCCCACATTTCAGCTTTAGAAATCTCCTCCCTCTGGGGTTTAAAGGAAGGGCAACTAGAGGGATCTCCCAGAAAAAAAAGGCCAAGAATACAGTTTTGAAGGAAGGATAAGAGGGAATGTGACAGACATACAGTTAAGAGTGACAGCAGTAGATAGCATTGCCTGACAATGATTCAGAGAAAGAAAGTCTCCATTGGGAACAGCAGGAAAAGACACTTCATCCCTGTAAGCTCCTCTGCATTCATTTCACAGAACATTAGGCCATTGCAAGTTAAAAAAAAAAAAACCCTGCTAATTTGCTAGAGAAACACATAACTATTTATAGAATTTAATTTTTAAGACAAATCGAGTAAAGCACAAAAGAAGTTAGATCTTAACACAAAATGCGACAATCTTTACAGATTGTTCTAGCACAAAACTTCTTTCCTAACACAGGCATGACTGAAAGATCATTCTTCTCATGCCAGCTCTCCACAAACCCTCTGTACAAAAGCTGTCAGACGATAAGGCAGCCAGCAAGCTGGATACGGGGTCTCTTGCACAGCATCACATCCCCATGCGAGGAGCAAGCGTTTGTCCTTCTTGACCCCCATAGCAGCGTGAAACAACAGACCAGTTCTCAGTTTGTTTAGCAATCCCAACTCCTTTAAAAATAGCCCCTATTTCTGGCAGCCCAGCATATGGCTGCTGTGCCAGCGTCGCACCCGCGCAGGGGACAGCGGGGTTTTCTCTCACACCCCCGTGACGCTTGTGCCCCAGGGCACAACACAGGGCAGGGACCTGGGGAAGCCACCTGCCACCTCTGCCTGGTGCCATGGCCCCGCTGTGCAGCCAGAGGGAAGGCTGGCCTTTGGGAATTAGGAATTCCCACTTCTCTGGAGGGAGAAGCAGCCCATGCTCCATTCTGGAGGCAGGAAGAGAGAGAGTGAAGGAGCACTGTAACCACGAGCTCCTGAAGCCCTGTGGCTGCAGAGTGGCAAAGGCCCTATGGCATCACTGCTCCTTTTGGAATGGCTTTCAGAACAAATCTCCCACCAGCCCCTCGCCCCATCCTTATTGTGCTGTGTTGGCCTGAAGCTCTCCCAGGCCATGCCCTGGGCTATGGCTAACTCAGCCCTCAGGACAGGCATGCACCTCCCATCCCTGAATGCTGCAGGGATGTCACATCACGTGGCCCCAAAACACAAATTACCCCCCAAAACACAACCCATGTGGGTACCCCCTGATGGCTCCCTGCTGGCTGGCCCCTGCTCCCACTGCTGCACACACGGGCACGGCCATGGCTCTTCCCGTCTGTTTGTCTGGAAATAACAGCATAGGGACACACATGGGACACAGCAATCACATCTGTTGCATTTCCTTTTTTAAAATTCAAGATACAATAATTTTAGCAGGCGTTCTGCCTTCAAAGAATATACCTTTCACATTCATAACTTTGGTTTACTATTTAAGGGCACTTTCGTTAAACTCAAGAGTGACACTCTACTACTGAAATAGCAGCTCTTACACACCATACTGCCAAAAATACAAAAATAGGGTTTTTTTTTTCCAAAAACCCAGACTACTTTAGTGTTATTTTAATCTTTTAATTCCATGGTGTAGAAAAAATATAGAGTCTTTTTACATTACAGAAAAAGTTTAAAAGATTATGGCATATTTCTTGCTGTTCATTGCAGTCACTCTACCTCTACAGTAAAACTAACCACAACAGTCTACTCCCTGCACTCCTGCAAAAATACAAGCAGTTTTTTATATTAATACAATATTTTAAAGGAAACTTGTATCCAACTGTTAATAGTTCATACAATGCCTTTGAGTGCTACTTCCAAGCAACAGAAAATCCTCCCAGCATCTCCACAGGAACACCTTATTCATGCAAATAGTAGTTTACATTTTAACAGGAGACATGTTAGAGTCTTAAATCTGTATTTATCACTCCTGATTATTTGCTCATGTGTGGGTTCACACACACACGCAGAGGAGAGAACAAGCATAAACATGCAGTGCGTGTGAGTATGCGTAAAAATCTATGGCTCAGAGAGGTTAAGTATCAAAAGAGGCTGATTCACTCATGCAGTCTTTTAAAGAAGTTTGAAGTCCAGAGACTCTTTAAAACCACAATAATGGATTGTACATTTACAGATAAATGCTTGAAAATGTTACTCATTCTCCTCTTTTGTTATAGCATTCATTTAAAAATCCTGGAAAGAAAAACTGAAAGCTGAAGTAAACATTCAATTCCTTTGTCTGATTTGCTGGGCACTATGCTCATTTAGCTATGGTACACCCTGTCCATATACAATTGTTTGCTCCATGCCACTTCTGTCATGTTTTGTTAGCAAGTTTATGGTAGGATACAGCTTCTGAGAGAAAGGTTGAAAAACAGAGATGACTGAAAATCCAGGAATTTATGTCAGCAGGATCTGTCTTAGGTTTTGTAGGCATCCATGAGACTGCAGAATGTAAGAAATATCCTCCTAACAGAGAAAGTTTTGTGTGGCTGATGCACCAGCTCACACACTTCCATCACACCCTCACTCACACAGGGCCCAAAGCAAACTATTTATGTTCTCAATTTTCAGCTTTCTAACTTTTCCTCATACACTCTGCTTATGGTTTTACTGCACTTTGTATTTTGAATCCCTCTTTAATGTCCTAAACACATTTTGAAAAGTATGCCACTTTACAGTGTGCAGCTTTCCTCAAGAGCCAAATGTTACCCACACTTCTCACAGGCAGGCTCAACAACCTGTGCTTTATCTTGTGAACACACGAGATAACGCACACAGCAGGGCTTATCTTCCCCAGGTCCCCAGCGCAGCCTCACTGCGCGTGGCAGCGGTGCCATCGCAGTGGCAAGGCAGACACTGTCACAACAACAAGGCCACCAGTCATCAGCACACACTTGGCTGAGCCAAACCTGTGCAGCTGTCTGCTGCAGCAGTGCTGGACATGGAAATCTGAACTGCAAGTCAAAATAAACAAAAATCACCTTGCAGCACGTCAAGGAATTCAGCCCAAGGAACCTCCTGACCAGCTGCTTGCATCCAATTTAGCAGATACTATCAAGTACTCAGTTTAGCTAGAAACTCTCCCTGCACACAGAAAAAAACTCAAAGGTAGTCAAATCCTGCCACGTGGTAGCTGTTAAACACCACTGTCCAACCAAAATATGATGCTTCTGAAAACTTCACCAGTAATGTGGACCTTGCACTGAAGCAGACGGCGTTGCAGTTGGGTGCTGGTGCTCTGATGGGAGCTGCTAATTAAGAGCTGACAAGTATTAGCTTGTTAAACCTTGTGTTTGTACTTCACTCTGAGCGAGGCTACCCGTGGTGCTCAGCCCTTCCAGTGCAAAGTCAAACAGGTTAAACTCCATCCCTGCTATCAGCCACCGCTTCTGGGACTTCGTGTGCACTTAATTGCAATGGAAAGAAGGTTTAAGGAGTTGATCCTTGCCACTGCTCAGCTACTGGTTTGCTGCCTTTTGGCCTCATAGCCCTGTGAGGGGCTATTGTTGTGGTTTCTTCCACAATGCACAGTGAAA